TTTAAACGCCTCAAATTTTGTGTTTGTATTTGACTGAGTCAATTCATAAAAATATTCTTCTCCAATTTTACAAAAGAAGGTGTTGTTATATTCAATACTATCATGTATAACAATTACAGATGAATTTTCACATTTAAGATATTTCAAGTTTTCATCATCAATTTCAATCGGATTTCCTTCATATTTATATACATCGAGGTGTTCTAATTTACACTCACCAACAATCACATTTCCTGACACACATTTAATTTTCAAAGTCTTTGTTGTCAGTGGCAGAATAATTTCATTGAACCCAACATTTTTCAATTCTATTTTTAGTACGAAAGAACAACTCAGATATTTAGATAAGTTGAGATCGTTAAAAATATCATCAGGGTCATATGTATTTAAAGATGTTAAACATATTTCACGTGGAAGAACCAAACCGAGTGTTTTGTTGATATCATCTACATCAAAAAAATAGCTTGCTGTTTTGAAAATGGTATTTTTAGTCGTGTTTGAAACCAAAGGGATATATTGCAAATATTTTGAAATATAAGAATGATAGAACGTTATAAACAGTTTAACGTTATTGTATTTTTGAAGTTCATTTTTAGGATCATAATAGTCGTCTTCTTTAAATTTAATAAAGAAATTGTATTGTGTATTTGCCATTGTTGAATAATCAAATTTTGTAAAATAAACTGAATTGCAGAATGTTGTTGTGATATTAACTTTTTTAAGTGAAGGAAGTGAAAGTACGTTTGTTACACAGAATTGTTTTTTAAAAATTGAGCAAAAAACTAAATGGAGTGTTTTCAATTGTGCAAATAAAAAACAATTACCATCAAAAAGTGAAATTTCATCATCAAAAAGTTGTAAATTTATAACATGTTGCGAAAAACATTGTGTTGCAAATAGTTGTTTTAATAATTCCAACCTAATTTCTTTTGATTTGGTTTTTGTAGTTCTTTGCATTATAAAAAAAATTTCTTTTTCTGTTTGAAGTTTTGATAAATCATTAGAAATATATGGCAAATACAAAGTTTCAATTTTGGGAAAGACTTTTACAATTTTTGAAATTGGAGTTGTTAATTGTAATTTGAAAGGATTAATGTAAAGACTGTTAATAATGTCTTGAGCAGATGTATTGATTAAAATGAAATTAGTAATATCAGATAAAGTTTCAAGATACAACACAACATTTCTGAGGTAGAACTGTTCTAGTTTTGCCATGACTATTTTTGTAAAAATTTAGTTTCAGTTTTTTTTAAAAAAAAATCAAAAATTGTTTTTAATGATTTTTATTTATTAAAATAATAATTCATTGAAATTTTATAATATAATATAATATAATAAAACTCAAGTTGGATTTATTTCAAAAAAATAATATTTGAACAAATTTTTTACCAAAACAAAGTAAAGAGGTGGAAAAAATAATTTAACTTTTTTTACATTAAAAATTGTTTCGTAACGGCTCTGTGGCTAATTTAAATGTACTTTATCACTTAAAATTACAATTGTTTTACACTCTAATTGTTTAATCGTTTGTTTAAAACTCAGTGATACACCAAATCGATATAACTTTATAACTCCAAGTATTAAACAAAAAAAACTTTATTTGAAAAACTGATGATTCGAAGAAACTAAATAATAATAAAATGTGATATGTATTTAGAGACAAATTTTTGGTATTAAAATTCGGGATTAAATCTATTGTTTAATTCGTTAAATCTATTGAGAGTTTGGAAGTCCATCACACATTTGTTTTGTAAATCGAAAAAAGAACAATAAAAAACTAATAATTCATTTTCAAAATAATGTCAAAAACAATAAAAATAGTCATTCTAGGCAGCGGCGCAGTTGGGAAGTCTGCTATTACAATTCAGTTAGTCTCTGGACAGTTCATTCAAATATACGATCCGACTATCGAAGACTCATATAAGACGTCGATATCTGTTGATGGTGAAATCGTCCCATTAGATATTTTGGACACTGCGGGACAAGAAGAGTACTCTGCGTTACGAGACCAGTACATGCGATCTGGTGATGGATATATCATAGTTTATTCTATAACATCCACATCATCGTTTTTAGACGCCAACGTCATTCGAGAACAACTCTATCGAGTGTTGAACAATGATGATGCCGCACACTTCCCAATTTGTGGTTGTGTGGGAATAAATGC